AATATCTAAGTGGCTCGATTTCAGTCCAAACTTGGACACCTGCATAAGTTTATCTTACGCGTGTCAGAAGTTCTGCTTTGGGAATTCCAGGAGGCGAGATGTCGGACGGTCGACTGTTGAGGTGTACGGAAGGTTCATAACACCGACTCTGAGTAAAAGTCTAGCACGAATAGAAAAGCATCGATCTAAATCGTTAAATGGGCCGTGCATGAGCAAATATCTGCACTCTAGGCTGTCACTCACTATTCGGTATCGCTAAGAACAGGGGGTTGAAAAGCAATCGCCTATCTTTCCCTTAAGAAAACTGAACTAAGATCACAATCACATCATACACATATATTTCTGCAAACTACGACGCAGGACAAAGTACCTGCCACGTTGGATTCAGTGCGTCCGCTGAAACTTTTGGTTACCAACGCAGAATTCCCTAACATCTGCGCTACTAAATCTGGGACTAGAACCAATATAAAACCTGCAAGTTTAAAAGCAAGTTGACTGAAACAAACTGCCGCGATTGAGGCCAATCAGATTGCATCTATTTGTTTCGGATTGTATACTTGCAATAAGTAAGCGTTAACGTTTGCCCTTTTTCGGCTATCAAACGACTGCTTGCGTCTTGCATGCGATTATGTGGACAGTCTCTCTGTTAAGTTAATTAATTTATCGGTGCTTTTTAATTAAACACTCTGTGACCAATAGGGAGTTCAAGAACAAGTGAAATCAAAAACAAACCCGCGCGATTGAGGTCAATCAGACTAAGTCCATTTGCCTCGTCATGTAAACTCTTTCCGGTGTCTTGTTCTATCTGTATGCGGCGAATTGTGGCACGGGAAACCTGGACGGACGGACCATCTGACCAGAGGAAGTCCAACCAACCTTGTTGGGCAATCGGAGAGCGATTTTGGGTGATCTGGTAACCAGCCGGTGCGTCAGCATAAAAGTAGTGTTTGCGCTCAAAGCGCGAAGTTGTATTGACTTGACAGTTCAGTGCAAGTCCGGCCACGACGGCTGCTTCAACACAGGCGCGATTCAACAGCTGAGGGAAAAAGGGGGAGGGGGAAGGGTGGAAAAGGAAGCATTTTATGGTAAATTAAGTATAGAAGAACCTTAAGTCGCAGGCTAAGTTGCAAATCAATAGATTACGATCATGGATAATGCACTTCATCTAGCAAAAAAGAGAAACGAGCGATCACGGACCGCTATCTGGGGAAGAGCGCTTCAACCGCACCAAAATATGGTATCGTTCGACTTAGTTTCATTATTCACATGTAGCCCACCGGACCTGGTACGCGACGTTCTACACAAACTACTCGAAGAGAAACACGATGAATGCTCTAAAAATTGACCATCTAATGCAAGTCTTTGTCTTCTACCAGGGATTTTTTTTCACCTTCAATGGTAGAATATACAAGCAGATCAAAGGAATACCCATAGGTTCACAAATATCCAGTCCAATCACAGAACTGGTCCTACAACAACTAGAAGAAGTCACCTTCAATAAATATGAACCTGCGTTCTGGTGCCGATACGTGGACGACACATTCATTATAATTAAACGGAGCAAACCAGCAGACTTCGAAAATCTACTTAATGGCATCTTCATTGACACCCAATTCCCAAGGGAAGAAGGGACCACCGAACAGCTGCCTTTCTTTGACGGTCTCTTCACGTGCAGACCCAATCGAGAACTCACCATCACCGTGTACAGAAAGGCGAATAACACAACCCAGATGCTAAACTTCTATCGCAATCACCCAATGGCGCATAAACACGGCTGTAGTAGACCGCTCTTCTAGAGAGTAAAAACACATTGAAGTAAAACCTGAGGATCGCTACCCATACCTTGTGACCAACGGACAAGGAATGGATACTCGAACAGCCTCGCCAGCAGCTGCCTCCTTACAAACGGAAGAGAGAAACCAACATGCTGGCACTCCTAAAGAATGTGTCAGAAGCAATGGAACGTGTCGCTGCAGAGCTCGGCGTGGGTACTGTCCATAGTCTGACAGCTACCATGCGTTCGCGGATCATGCAAATAAAAGAGCGATTGGAGGCAGGTGAGCAGTCTGGTGTCATTTATCAATTAATATGTCGCGACTGTTCTCACCATTATACAGGATAGACCACGTGCCGACTTTGCTCGCGAAAAAACGGAGCACAAACGGAAAGTGCGGAAAGGCGACCCACTATCCCAGATCGCTGCCTACACCCTGGAGGAAGGCTACA